CCTGCCTGCTGGTCAAACTCCTGGTTGAGAGGCCAATTTGCATATGAGCCTTTTATTCTATAGGATATACACTGAGTGGCCAGATTATTATGGGTTCAGAGATCATCATCATCTGGCCATTCAGTGTATATGTTTTTTATTGATTCAAAGAGGAGGGAGAGGAAGAGAGAAACATCGATGATGAGAGGGAATCATAGATCACCTGCCTTCAGCATGCCCCTTACTGGGGATTGAGCCTTCAGCCCGGGCATGTGTCCTTGACCAGAATCAAACCGTGACCTCCTAGTTCATAGGTCTACATTCAACCACTGAGCCACACCGGCCAGGCACCTGAGATGGTTTATACATGGATTCATGCAGCTGTGGTCCGATACAACTGTTATTTGGCAAAACAGTCACAGGGCTGGGTTTAGCCTACACGCTGATATCCTAAGCCCCTTGGGCCACAGAGACTAAAGAATAAAATAAAAAAGAGTAAATACCAGGTTCAGGGTCACCCGGTAGAAGCTGAAAACCAGCTGGTCTGGCTAAAGGGAGATGCAAAACGTAGACAACACCCGCCCTCCAATTTCCCCACCCTCTCGGGTCCTGCCCATGCCTCTCACTGCACACGGCCAGCTGGAGGCCAGCTGACAGGGGACCTTGAAAACCTACCTTGTAGGGACCAGCCTCTGAAATAACAGAGGGACAGAGATAAAAGGACGTGAAGTCAGACAGGCTAAACGCAGGCACCGCTAGTCAACTAATTTCACAGAGAAAATAAAAACGTTACATCAAGACAGGACATGGCTCTTACCTTGGGATTGCTGACATACACCTGCATAAAAGGGTGGATCAAAGGAGGGGAGAGGGGAGAATATATACTCATCTCGGTACGAATGGACCAAAAGTAAAGGAAATATATAACTAAAGGGGTGCTGTACTCAGCCATCGTACCTGTACAGACTCAAGGGGCTCCGAAAACAGCAGGCAGGTCTGTATGCCTGTGTGTGCATGTGTGTGTGTGCGTGCGTGTGTGTGTGTGTGTGTGTATGCACCCAGATTTCTGAATTCACTCAGTTATTCATCAATTCCATTACTGCATTTTTCCCATTAGACTCCTTGCTATAAAAGAAGTGCCGGCTGTTAATTTTTTATCTCCGTAACTGTTGCACACGTTTCAAAGAGAGAAGTGAGGTTTAGAAACAGGTGGATTTACAGAAATATTCAAAAGGAGCTGGGCACGGGGTTCAGCCCTCTTGCATCAAAATCCTCGCTGGTCATCTTAACATGCTCATCACAAGATAAACGAAGGCTTTTGGGGTCCCCTTGCCCTCTATTTAAGTCAATCTCTGTATTTAGTGTATTAAAATCAAGGTCAGTGTAGGCTGGAAATGCCTTAGAAAGCACTGTAAAAATTCTGCTTCTCTGGGTTCCATTGGCAGATGCAAACTTATAAATGTATGGATTTAAGAAGCAATTACATTTTTAAAAAGGTTATTCTAAGAATATGATGGATACCCTGTTTCCCTGAAAATAAGGCAGTGTCTTATATTAATTTTTTCTCCCAAAGTTGCACTAGGTCTTATTTTCGGAGGATGTCTTATTTTCGGGGAAACACAGTATTACCTTAATACTAATTTAAAAAATCATTACCCCCAGGGGGAAAAAAAGAATATGATGTAAGTGGAAGAGTCAATGACATTTTCTAGATAACACAGTACTTAGAATTAGTAACTTTTTAAGATACTCATAGCTAAGTAATAATCTTCTTTATGTCCGACTCCTACTACCTAATCTTTAAATCTTCAAAAATAAGCTTGCCCAGGAGTGGGCAAAAATAGCTTTACAGTTGTAATACAAATAAATAATACAATAATAATAAGCAATAATACAAGGATAAATTCTGTGTTTTGCACACTCACAACTTTCACCCTACTTTTGCCAACCCCTGTAAGTTTAAAAACACCAAGAAAGGTCCATCAGGGTACTTTTTTGTTCTTTTTCATCCTCACCTGAGGATATTTTTTCCCATTGATTTTTTTTTTTTTTTTTTTAGAAAGCGTGGAAGGGAGGGGAGAGACAAAAGAGAGAGAAACATCGATTGGTCACCTCGTGCACCGGCTTGGGGGGGGTGCAGAGGGGGAGGTCCAGCCTGCAACTGAGGCACGTGCCCTTGAGTGGTACTAAACCTGGATCCCTTCAGTCTGCAGGCCGAGGTCCTATCCACTGAGCCACACCAGCCAGGACTAATGAGGGCATCTCAACAACTCTTACGGAGGAATAGTCACGGCACCTGTAGATGCTCCCACGGGCTCCTTTTCGGGAGCCAAATTGGAAGCCCGTTGCATTTGCCTCTCTACACTGCACACGCTGAGTTGCAAAAGAACCGACCACTTGCAATTCCTCACCAATTCTATATCAATTGCACGTATCCACTAAAGATCATAAGCAGCTTGCAATGAGCTCTGTGCCTCTGAGGTTTTATGAAACACAGCTCCGTGCTCTGGACATTTATGATCTCTCTGAGCCCCGTTGCACTCAAGTCCAAATTCTAGAAACTACTGTGGAAGGGATGGGGGGGAGAGACAAAAACCGACCACAGCTCAGTGGAAAGATACAACTCCGGAGCAGAGAAATAAATACTGCTCTCCCGGCCCCCTCTGCTCCTCCCATATTTTTTGATATCTTTATCCGGGCCGTCAACATTTTTTCTCTCCTCCTTCATTCCTGGGGCCATTCTTTCGTAACCTCTCCGGTCCTCCCCAGCTACAATATTCCCCAAGCTCACAATTTCTCTTCCCGGCCTTTATGGTCTCCCACAAACTGCCAGGCCGGGGCCCCCTAACTAAAGAAGGTTATTGATGTCCGGGGCCCAGGGTGTTAGAGCGGCAGCAGAATCAATAAACTGAGAAAATACTGCTTTGTCAGGCTTCGCCCGAGGCATGCTGGGAAATTTTACTGCCTCCGATGGTTACAGAGAAACTCTTAATGTGGGAGCCGGAGGGCCGGGCTCCCTTCTGTGGCCAGAAATGAGGTTCTTCTACCCTCTAGTGACTATAAAGGGATAAGACAGAGTGCGGAGGGATTGCTCAGATGGTTATTTATTGGCTCTCCGTTTCGAGAAGAGAGCCAGGATCTTGGACACCAAGTGAACTAACTGGCAGGAAACCCAGACACCTTAGCATAGTTTTTTTGTTTTTTTTTTGAAAGGGTTCGACATGCAAAGGATAGATGCGTTAGAAAGCAGTCAGGACTTGGGATGTCTTTGAATTTTATTGATTTTTAAAAATATATTTGTATTGATTTCAGAGAGGAAGGGAGAGAGAGAGAGAGAAAGAGAGAGAGAAAGAAAGAGAGAGAGAGACATCAAGGGTGAGAGAAGGAATCATGGATCGGCTGCCTTCGGCATGCCCCCTACTGGGGAGTGAGCCCACAAGCCAGCATGTGCCCTTGACCAAACTCGAACCCGGGACCCTTCTGTCTGCAGGCTGATGCTCTAGCCACCGAGCCAAACCAGGTAGGGCTCTTTTGAATTTTTAAAGGTAATGCTTCTAAAGTTTACCTGTCTTTCTAAATGACTAGTCAGATTACAAATCTCTCAAACTCTTCTCTCTCTCTCTCTCTCTCTCTCTCATAAATTTACAGTCTTTGTCTCACTCTCCTTATTTTATAGAGAAGGAAGCAGCTGAGACGCAGTGAGTTCCGAAGTCAGAGCTGGCATATGTATTTGTGCAGATGTTTTGTGTAAATAAATGCATGTAAGTAACTGACACATGCACATATAAACCACCGCCATCCCTACGGTGGGTATTTCTCTTTAACAAAGCAGCCCAGCTGCTAAATAAAGTTATAATTTTTTTTAAAAAATGTTTGGTTGGTTTCATTTTACACTCATGTAGGCATTCAGTCGCTTAAGTTGCAAGGTGCTAATTTAATAACCTGATAACCCATCATACGTTTCTACCCGGGTACCCACCCTTTTTTACAAATTGGACAGCCGTGGGTATAATGGCTTAAGTACAAACTAACCATGTAAAAACACCGCCAGTACTGGTATTAAGAAACACCTAAAAAAATCTCATACACACACACACAAAAAAAAAAACAATAAGTGGTGTTTTATGTGTGTGTTTTTTCCACAAGTTATAAAACACGCAACATCCTTTTAATTTCTATTTCCCCTGTCCCTCTAGCACCGAAGCTGATCTCTATCTAAAGGTCAGTAACTTCCTAAAAGACTCCGTCTCGCTGCGGGACACCCCAAATAATCGGAATTTAATGAAGTGGAATGTCCCGACGTGGCCGGGACTTCTAGAATGTTGCCACCAAGCAAAGGGCAGCGAGTCCAAGCATCTGACTGTGCCCTGATGGAGTTTTATTTTTATTTATTTATTTATTTATTTATTTATTTATTTTTATTTTATTGATTTTCCACAGAGAGGAAGGGAGAGGGATAGAGAGCTAGAAACGCCGATGAGAGAGAAACATCGACCAGCTGCCTCCTGCACACCCCCTACCAGGGATGTGCCCGCAACCAATGTGCATGCCCCTGACCGGAATCGAACCAGGGACCCTTCAGTCCCCAAGCCGACGCTCTATCCACTGAGCCAAAAAATGGTCTCGGCTGAAGTTTTATTTTAAAAGGAGGCCGTGTCCCTCCTGCGAACAGCAGTGAGAGGAAGGGAACCCGGTCGGTGTGCGGGGTCGGCGGTAGGAATCACATGTGCATTTGTATTGTAATAAAGATGAACTTCCAGACCAGCGGTGGGCAAACTCATCAGTCCACGGAGCCAAATAGCCACAGAACAGCCACTGAAATTTCTTTGGAGAGCCCCATTTTAAAAACTTAAACGATAGAGGTAGGTGCATTGCTATGAACTTAATCAGGGCACTCCGAAGCTGGCCTTTGCTAAAAGCTCACGGGGCCAGAGAGCAGCCTGTGGCTCGCGAGCCGCGGTTTGCCGACCGCTGTTCCAACCCAACGATGTAACTAACGCGCTGAAGGAACTGGTATTTACCTTGCCTGCGCTTAACCGCTTCCGGTTTGTCCAGCGCTGAGGATCACGTCCGTGGGACGGTGAAGAACAGGAAGAGGAAAGAGAGACACAGAACAACCGTTAATTAGCAACAGGATCATTAATTAGCCGCACAAAGACATCGTTCTGTGAGTCACAGGGTAAAGTTGACATGCGAATGACGGACATCCCGCCTTCCTCTGAGGTTACAGAGAAAACACCGGTGAGCACGAAAACCGTTAGAAACGGAGAAGAGTCACGTATGGGTGGATCTGACACCTTCTCCTCATGGCGCTTTCGACACGGGGAGGGCACAGGTCGCAGACACACGGTTCAGTCCGCGGAGTCCTTTTACCCTTATGTTTTGAAAAGCCTTCACGCAGTCAAGTTCCCCTCTAACAGGCAGAATTCTCCCGCTTGAGAAACTCAGGTGATAGCATGAAGCTATGCAGAGAGATCCATGGGCAGTGTGAGTTCATGTTTAGGTTTCCAGCGCTTTAGATGCCAGAAAAATAATTTCCATCGGCCTGCACGGATTAAGTCTCAATTTTCATTAAAAAAAAAGAAGAAGAAATCGGAGTCATTCCTACACCAGGAAGAAAAATAGACTAAAGCAGCTCTGAGGGAGAGAAGAAAACATTTCTGAGCGGCAAGAATCTCTCCACCGCGTGCTCTCTCTGGGGCCCTCGTTGGTCATGCTAAACCAGTGGTCGGCAAACTCCTTAGTCCACAGAGCCAAATATCAGCAGGACAACGACTGACATTTCTTTGGAGAGCCACATTCTTTAAACTTCTTCTAACACCACTTCTTCAACACAGACTCGCCCAGGCCGTGGTGTTTTGTGGAAGAGCCACACTCAAGGGGCCAGAGAGCCACCTGTGGCTCGCGAGCCGCAGTTTGCCGACCACGGTGCTAAAACTAAGGCTGCTGAATTGCACAGACAATTAAAATTCTCTCCCAGCAAGGTCCTCTTATTCATTCTCTTCATCACGACCCTGTGGCTGGTTAGCCACCTAACTGGATGTTCAAACTCGAGTAAATCTGGGAGATTAAAACTCTATTATGAATCTTATGGAGAAGCCCACACTGGTTATGATTGCTTAAGGAAAAAATACCACCTACCTGTCCACACCACAATACATCTTCCCGGTAAATCAGAAACCAGACGATAAACAGTCTTTGGGAAAACCCACTTACATTCTGGGGACCAGGAACTACAGATGTGGATGCAGAAGTGACTTGAAAATATTCTTTATTTAAAAGCACTTCTGCCAAAACCAGTTTGGCTCAGTGGATAGAGCGTCGGCCTGCGGACTGGAAGGTCCCGGGTTCGATTCCAGTCAAGGGCATGTACATTGGTTGAGGACACATCCCCGGTGGGGGGGCGGTGCAGGAGGCAGCTGGTCGATGTTTATCTCTCATCGACGTTTCTAGCTCTCTAGCCCTCTCCCTTCCTCTCTGTAAAAAAATCAATAAAATAAAACAAAATAAAATAAAATAAAATAAAAAAACACTTCTGCTGGTGAAACTGTGAGTTCAGCATTCAGCACGTGATATGGAGTTGTGGATACTACAATCTGGGTGCTAAAATCAGTCTTTTTGGTATTATCCCAGTGACACATTGACAAGTATTCCAACCCAAAACACACGCCAAAATTAATTACCATCTTAAAGGTACACAAGGCTATTTAGGGCCTTTTGACGTGTGATTTTTTTTTTAATCTCCATAATAATCAAAAAAGACATATAAAATGAATATGGGTAGAAGTGCAGAATGAATATTACTGTCTGCTTACTACAATACGAAAGCTACCATCTATAGAGTAATGCCAAACTCTGCAACTGATCATCTCAATCTTCGGGATTCTGTAAAATAAGCTTTTTTTTTTCTTTCTTTTTTTTCTTTTTTTTATCTCCAATTCACTCAGGAGGAAATTGTGGCTGAGAGGCACTGGATTTTTTACCTGCTCACTTAACTTCTAGAAAATATGGGAGCCGGGATTCAAACTCAGGGAGTCGGGTACCACAGAAAATCCCTTCTTTGTTATGTCCGCTAGAAAAACAGATTCATTTTCAACAGCAACTTAAAGACCTTTCAACATCCAGATGTCAGCTTTAAAGAGGCCTCACTTTTGAACGCTGACATTTTTTTTTTTTTTTAAAGCGAGGGGTGTCTTTTCCTCCGTTATCATCCAGGGAAAGCCTCGGACGATGTTTGAATTAAAAAATAGCAACTATTTAGCTGACCCTCTGGCGTTTGAAAAGTCCCAGGGCTGGTTTTCGGCTTCCTGAAGCCTTTTCTCTCGAGTCACCAGTAAATCAGTCCTGATTTTCATCATGAAAATAAGTTACAACGACAAGCGAAGATGATGTCAAGATGGGGAATATGCTTGTCGCCCACCCCAGTGACTCAATTCGAGAGGCATTATGGAGGCCTAATTTATACGCATGCCCCGTTAGAAACTCGCTCATGCTCACACAGCTTCACCCCTTTTTGAATAGGTATTTCGGCTGGCTTCAAAAATACTTGTTACTATTTTAATTCTTGGTGGAGTCTCATTATAGGCTCTGAATAGAAATAAGATTATTATTTGTAGTCCCATAGATGCTCAAAATGACAAAACTCCAATCATAAAACCCAAAGCTTTGTTGATACGACAGGAATTTGCACCCGGTTGAGCGTTAACTAGAATTTTCTATATAACGGACCGCAGAATGTTCAAAATCTCTATCTTCCCTAAAGCACTCTCCATAGAAAATTTGGTGGCTAAAAGAGAAAGGAACGGAAATGCTTCTAATTCATACTTGGTCGTCTTAAAAACGTACAACGCAGTAATTAAATACGAAAAATTGCTTTTCGTAATTGAACAATATGCAAGGTATCTAGTCCCTAAGAAGATTTTAAGTAAAAATCTGAACACTTAGTAAAAATGCATTTCACGTTATCTGCTTAAAGCAAACCATGAGCAACATACATATTTTAGACATAGTAGCGCTGTCTATATTCCTAGCCCAAATAGGGAGAATTCTTTTAAAAAAAATATATATTTTATTGATGTTTTACAGAGAGGAAGGGAGAGGGATAGAGAGTTAGAAACATCGATGAGAGAAAAACACCCATCAGCTGCCTCCTGCACACTCCCTGCTGGGGATGTGTCTGCAACCAAGGTGCATGCCCTTGACCAGAATCGAACCTGGGACCCTTCAGTCCGCAGGCCGACGCTCTAGCCACTGAGCCAAACTGCTCATAAAGAACAAATGGGGATACTCACGTGCCTCTTGAAGTCACCCTGTTTGACTACGAGGTTCAGATTTAGCACGATCATGCCCATGTCATCTTCTAAGCTGTTTGGATCTTCCAACTTTAAAATATGTTCAGTTGTTCTACAAGCAAAACGCAAACAAACAAAAAACAAAATCAAAACCAACAAGTAACAGTAGCCCTTCCTGGCAGTCCTGTGTCATCTTAGAATGCACCAGAAACCCATGGTCAAGGGCCCCTCCCTCTGAATAAGGGTTAGACACCAGATTAAAAAGCACAAAATTCCGAAAATAAAACCTTCAAAGTAGGACATTGTGCGGCATTGCCTAACTCAGCAGCTGGCTCACTGCTTCTCGCCTTCTCGCCCACCCGATGAAATGTAAACACTGGTTTTAATTTCAAGTGAGAGTGAGAAATTCAATGCACACTGTAGCATATCGGGTGGAGGGTTTAATAGCTGACAAAGTCCATTTTGGAGCTGAGGAGCAAAAATCATTCACCTAGGACACATCCGGCCCTCTTTCTTTTTTGTCATTGGATCTCAGCAAATGCCAGTTCACACGATCTTGTGTTCCCTCTGAAATTCATTCATCACTCTGAGAAGGGGGAAAAAAAAAAAAAGGATGATACCTGTTCAGCTCGAGTTCGCTGAGGTTGACAAACGCAGAGCCCATGAAATCCGACGTCGTCAAGTCTCGGTCGTATACCTTAAAAGGGGGACCGGGGACACACATGAATGCACTAAACCACGTCTGTCAAATGTATTCCTACATGTCATAGGCTGAGAACTTTACATTTGGTCTGCTAGCTCTTAAAAACAAACAAACAAACAAACAAAAAACACAATTTGCATAGCACAGTTCAAGAGGAAAAGCTAGCCAAGCCGATGGGGAGGAGAAAAATTATTCTATAACTTGCCCATGCAGCCCCAAAACAGCAGAATATACTTCTAGCCGAAACCGGTGTGGCTCAGTGGATAGAGCGTCGGTCTGCGGACTGAAAGGTCCCGGGTTCGATTCCGGTCAAGGGCATGTGCCTTGGTTGTGGGCACATCCCCAGTACGGGGGTGTGCAGGAGGCAGCTGATCGATGTCTCTCTCATTGATGTCTCTCACTCTCTGTCCCTCTCCCCTCCTCTCTGTAAAAGATCAATAAAATATATTTTTTTAATTAAAAAAAAAAAGAATATACTTGGAAGGCAGTGTTCATATGCGTTCAGACACAATGGGCCACTCTCAGTTGCCTTACACGGGCTCTCGTTAAAATTTCGTATTTTCCATGGCGGGCAGGTCTGCCAATTAAACGGGAATTTGCTAAATATTCTATAGCAATCGCCTCCTGCGCTCAGCTCACGCCGTTTCCAACCCAGATGTTAGAGCAATGAATGCTTACAGCCAGTGGCTTAAAGCTCTATTAAGTATGAAGTTATTCCTAATGAGAGAGGCTTGAAGCACCACTCACTGCCGGTCATAATTCCTCCACATCCGGCCGGTTTAAGCACCGTCAGTGGGGATGTGGTTTCCACGCGGGTTTTCTGCACGGCCCATATCTCGTGGGTCCGAGAGAAATGCACATCGCCGGCGAGGCCTCGAGACAGCCCTCCCCGTGCTGGTATTTTTTTTTTAAATGTATTTTATTGATTTTTTTTTTTTTTTTTTTTTTTACAGAGAGGAAGGGAGAAGGATAGAGAGCTAGAAACATCGATGAGAGAGAGTCATCCATCAGCTGCCTCCTGCACACCCTCTACTGGGGACGTGCCCGCAACCAAGGTGCATGCCCTTGACCAGAATCAAACCCGGGACCCTTCAGACCACAGGCCGATGCTCTATCTGCTGAGCCACACTGGTTTCGGCCCCTGCTGGTATGGGTGTTTTTAACCCGGCGCATACAAACAATAAAAGAATTAACGCGGGCAGGGATCTGCCTATGGGAGCCGATCGGAGGGCCATCGGTCATCGATTACCTTCAGGCGGAGCTTCTGATCGAGGCTCTGGATGGGCAGGACGACCATCTCGTCCCAGACCGGGTTCAGGTTCTTGTAGATGACTTTGCTTTTGTACAGCGTCTTGCCATTCAGCTTGAACTTCACGTAGGGGTCGCTGGTGCCTTTAAGAGAGGGAGCCAGTGATTGAGACAAGGTTCTTATTTTTTTTTATTTTTTTTGTGTGTTTTTTTCAAATGTACGTGAACGCCTGGATCTCTCCGTTAAGTCAAGTCTCTTTGCACGCTCCCCGGGGCTCAAAGCGTTTGAGCGCCTGCACCCAGGACACGAATTTGGCCCCGGCCAGACCCTGCAGGCCCTGGAGGTGGGGAGCAGGGACATACGGACCAATTTGGCGTGAATAATGCATTGGTCTCTGCCATCCGTGGTGGGGTATAAATGGGCTTTTTTTTTTTTTAATATATATTTTATTGATTTTTTACAGAGAGGAAGGGAGAGAAAAACATCGATAAGAGTCATCGATCAGCTGCCTCTTGCACACCCCCCCCCCCACTGGGGATGTGCCCGCAAACAAGGTACATGCCCTTGACCGGAATTGAACCTGGGACCCTTCAGTCAGTCCGCAGGCTGATGCTCTATCCACTGAGCCACACCAGTTAGGGCATAAATGGGTTTCTTGAGCTTTGGCTACATTGTTTCATTGTGAGAATATCATCACTGTACTTCCCCCGCCCCCCAAATTTCCGCCATGAAACCCACTGGCAATGTCGGGGTCCTGGGGAGAAGCCCACCCCTCTTTAAGAAAGGCAGGGAGGCCAAAACCGGTGTGGCTCAGTGGGTAGAGCGTTGGTCTGTGGACTGAAGGGTCTCAGGTTCGATTCTGGTCAAGGGCATGGACCTTAGTTGCAGGCACATCCTCAGTGGGGGTGGGGGGGGGGGTGCAAGAGGCAGGTGATCAATGTTTCTCTCCCAGCGATGTTTCTAACTCTCTATTTCTCTCTCTCCTTCTCTGTAAAAAATCAAAAATATATATATAAACTAAAAAACAAAACCAAAAAACGAAGAAAGGAGACAACACAGATTCAGAGATCCAGTGTCACACTGGGAATTTGGCAACATGGGGCGGGCAGAAGGCCAGTCAGCTGCCTTTAGTTTAAACTCAGACACACACACACACACACACACACACACACACACACGTGCACACACGCACGCACGCACGCACGCACATGCACATGCACACACGCCAAGTTCAGTGCAGTTCTGGGCGGGATTGCAAAAATGAGCACATTCACAGCCACTGAATACTCACCAGCGAGTGAGCAATGCGCCCCCCCCCTTGCCCCACCCCCTGTAACCATCATCCTGGCATCTATCTATCCATCTCTCTATCTATCCATCTATCCATCCATCTATCTATCTATCTAGTGGAGGGAAAACTATAATAACAAGAGGCCTCTAATTAAATGAGATTGCCCCTGTGGGATCAGGGCTTCATGCCTGTCAGCCCGCTCTCCAAATAAACATCTCACACCGGGGCCTCCCGGTCCCCCTCTCCCCCCCAGCAAAGCACGCTGGGTAATCCCCAGGCTCCCTGACAGCCGCATGACGTCCACACTGTTTCACGGGTGAATGGCGGCCGTCCCGTCAAAGAAAATATTAGTGTCTGGGAGTCATCGGGGAGGGGCCCGGGGCTGACGGAGCCCGACAAGGAGAGGGGGTTTTGGGTCCGTCCGGCGTGGCGTTAATTGTTCGGGGGGGGGGGGTCAGAGAAAGGGGGGGCAGCGGGGTGATTTTTTTTCCCCCTCTCTCTCTCTCGGAGCCTAAGTGCCTGGCTGTCAGGGATGAAACATCTCAACTAGGCAGCTCTGAAAAGGGGTCGGCCGGTCCGAAAGGCAGCTCCTGGATTATACAGACATCGGGATGACACCTCAATGGGTGGACTTTGACCTCCTTTCATGGGGAGCTTCTTTGTCCACAATGAGGCTCGGCGGGGGGGGGGGGGGGGGGGGAGGAGGGGGTTTGGGGGGGGGAAGATGCTGAGAGGCCGGTGACGGTGCCTCCAGGCTGGGGCTGCCGCCGATTCTGCCATGTGGACCCCATCCAGTGACACGCCTTCCAATTCCCAATACCTAGGCCGCCCCAGCCGGGTCTGCTCAGTAGTTAGAGCATCATCGGCATGCGGACCGAGGGTCCTGGGTTCGATTCTGGTCAAGGGCTTACACCTTGGTTGCAGGCTCTTCCTTGGCCTGGGCCCTGGTCAGGGTTACATGCAGGAGGCAACCCTTACATTGCAATCGATGTGTTTCTCTCACATTTTTGTTTCTCCCTGTCTTTCCCTTAAAAAAAAAAAAATCAATGCCACTAGCTCGTCTGGCTCAGTGGGTAGAGCGTCGGCCTACAGTCTGAAGGGTCCCAGGTTCCATTCCGGTCAAGGGCACATGCCTGGGTTGTGGGCTCCACCCCCAGGAGGGAGCCTGCAGGAGGCAGCCAATCAATGAGTTTCTCGCATCACTGATGTTTCCATCTCTCTCTCTCCCTCTCCCTATCCCTCCGAAATCAATAAAAATATATATTAAAAAAAATCAATGGAAAAATATCCTTGGGTGAGGATAATAAATAAACAAACAAACGGTTCCTGGTTTGCTTATGAATCTGAATGGGTCCTTCATGATGGAAATCAGCCATCGGCTTTATAGATCGCGTCATAATAATTTGTTTAAATGGACCTTACTTCTCGCGATAAGTCATTTTCGTTTTTATTTGGCCAAATTTGCTGAGCTGTCGGACATTCCGCTTAGAAGCAATTTCCTCTATAGGATTTGAAAGCCATGTTTCTCCCTCTGATTTTGTAGTTTTTCTTTTTTCATATAGATAGATAGATAGATAGATTTTTTTTTTGACACGTAAGCCTTTGGTCCATCTGGAATGACTTGAGGGTGAGGAGGGAAGGGAACTCAGGTTTGCTGATGAGCAGGAGAGCTGAGTGACCTGGGCCGAGCTGGAGAGATATAAATCTGGCAGCAGCTTATAATTCAGGAGGCAGGGGAACCCGGCGGAAGCAGGGAATCCTGGGAGGCGAGACAGCGCAGCGCAGGGCACGGAGCACATGGGAGAGGGGGCCCCAGACCCCCCGATGAGAGAACCCAGACTTTCGCAGGGAATGGTCTCCTGGACAGATGCTCCTCCGAGGAGCGAGGGGGGTTATGCCGCCGAAACCCCTGGGGAAGGCTCCTGACCGTGTTCTCACTCGGAGCGCCGCTTCACAGACTGAGACAGCGGTCGGCAAACTCATGAGTCCACGGAGCCAAATACCAACAGGACAACGACGGACATTTCTTCGGAGAGCCACATTTTTTTTTACACTTGAACTTCTTCTAACGCCACTTCTTCAACACAGACTCGCCCAGGCCGTGGTGTGTTGTGGAAGAGCCGCGCTCAAGGGGCCAAAGAGCCGCAGTTTACTGACCACCGACTTAACGCATTGCAGACCAGTAGTTCCATTGCTAGCTTTACCCAGCAGCCAGGTAAGTTTCCACGGAACGAGTACAAAAAAACCCCTGAAAATCAGCCCTAGCCGGTGTGGCTCAGTGGACAGAGCGTCGGCCTGCAGACCGAAGGATCCCGGGTTCAATTCCAGTCAAGGACACGTGCCCAGGTTGTGAGCTCGGTCCCCAGTGGGGGGGGGGGGGGGTTGTACAAGATGTGGCCGATCCATGATTCTCTCTCATCATGGATGTTTCCATCTCTCTCTCTCTCCCCCTCCCTTCCTCTCTGACATCAATAAAAATCTTAAAAAAAAAAAAAAGAAGTCACTAAGTATTCATAACTCCTGGCTAGCACCCTACTCCAAGCCTATGGTGACGCACTGAAGATGCCAGAGCACTATGCCAGTTCAATTCGAAGCAAATAGCAGGCATCTCAGTGAGAGGGACACACAGAAACTCAAATGGATCCTCAGAAGAGTGAGTCATCAGGAACCGTGTTACTGGAGCGTCTTGTGCTCTGGAGATTTTTTGAGCAGATGCTGCTGCCCTCTAGTGGCTAACGCAAAAAGTTTCAGCCCGCACCGAGGCCAAGTGCCCGCTGCATTCTTAACCGCCCCTTTCAGAAACCACAGCCGGCATGCTGGAAACGGAGAGGGCCTTTTTCCTGCTCATGTGGGAAAGAAGAAGCTGTTTTTCCTTACAGAGCGAAGTCTCTGTTCCTGAAGGGGAAGGGAAGGAGGTTTGATCCTCACAGGATGCCAAGTGGGGGCATCCACTAATGGGACCCGAAGGGGCCATGGCCAGCCCACACCCCAATAAGCCCACCGTGTGTAGAACCTCAAGTGCTCCTTGAACAAAACCCTGCCTGTGGGTGGGCTCTGTAATGTAATAATTTCCGAGCAATGGGCCAAAATCCAATTTCTGAAAGAAGCTCTAGAAAAGTCTTTTAAATACACACACACACACACACACACACACTGAGTGGCCAGATTATGATGATCTCTGAGCGCATAATCATCTGGCCACTCAGTGTATATCCTATAGAATAAAAGGCTAATATGCAAATGGTCCCCTTGACCAAGAATTCAACCAGCAGGCAGGCCGGCCAACCGCCCATGTCCCCTCCCCCTGGCCAGGCTGGCCGGACCCCACCCATGCACAAATTCATGCACTGGGCCTCTAATATATATAAGTATGTATTTTTAAAATTCTTTTATTTTAATACACATACACTGAGTGGCCAGATTATTATGTGTTCAGAGATCATAATAATCTGGCCATTCAGTGTATATATATTTATATGTGTGTGTGGGTGTGTGTGGGTGTACAAATGGCTATTTAAGTAGGACTGAACTTTTCACATTGGGCTGAGGGATACCACCCTCCCCCCCACCATGTACGAATTTTGTTCACTGGGCCTCTAGTATATTCATTGGAATGACCATCTTTCAGTGACGCTGGCCAGAGGTAGCTGGGTTGCTCCCTCACAGCACCCAGTGGTCTCACGCCACCTGGTGTTCAGAGAAGGTACTCCCAGGTGAAGCAAACGCCAGGATTTTGCAAACTAAAAAAGATGGAGAGTGACCTTTCGATATAACTAAACCTGAACAAAACAATACATCTGTGAGACTCAAAGAGAAATCCAAGCGGACCCTAATAAAATATGGATTGCATTTTAGTGCACGATTAAAACGTGGCAATCGAATCACTGGGGAAATTAAATAGCCATTTGGTTAAAAAAAAAAAGTAAAACGAAGTCCCCATGCTGGGCCGGAAATCAAAATAAACTCGAGCAGATCAAAGCGATTAATGAAAACCATCAAACCACACAGAAAAGAGAATAAACACGGGGCTAATGTGCCTCTCTCTCGAGACACACAACGCCTTTCTAGGTACAAAAATAAACTCTTTATAATAGGATGTAAGACTCAAAAAGATTTTAGCAACAAAAAAAAATGTATAAACAAACTTATTGTATAACTAGAGGCCCAGTGCACAAATTCGTGCACAGGTGGGGTCCCTCGGCCTGGCTGGTGACCAGGGTTATGGGAGTTTGGCTGGCCAAAGGGAGGGGTCACGGGAGGTTGTCAGCCAGGGGGAGGGGCTGCAGGAGGTTGGCTACAGGAGCACACTGACCACCAGAAGGCAGCTCCTGGGTTGAGTGTCTGCCCCCCTGGTGGTCAGTGCGCATCATAGCGACCGGCTGTTCAGTCATAATGATCACTTAGGCTTTTATATATATAGATTACCATGTGACCCCACACACATCCTCACAAATCCCACAAGTACACACACACACACACACCAGGTGAGTCCTCACAGTCATTGCTACCTGGTATCAGAGCTGGTATTCACACCTGGGTGGTCTGTGTCCAGCATCTATGACCCTTACCTGCTTTCCATTGTTCCCTGACCAAATGATTTCGAGGACCAAGGCCTGCAGACGGCATGTTCCCCACCCCTGGTCTAAACCAAATAGGAAAATTATTATTTTTTTTTCCTTCCTGTTCATGTATTCCTCTTGGAATGTTCTAGAAACAACGCTCAACTTTCTACCTGTGCCGCGAATGGAGAAGGAGAGCAGGTTGCTGAAAGCATGGGTCACGAACCTTCATCGCCTAAAACTCACACCGACCCTCAACCTTCCCGCCTACAGCCAGCTGATGTTGCTGGCCCTGGTCATGTTACCCTGAACTAACTCCTGCCCAAGAACTTTGCTTTCCCTTCTGCAATACTGCAGTGTGGCCACCAGAGGGCGCCAGCAACCCAGTCTTCTAGAATTTAAGGGGAGTTAAGCATCTTTCCCAGAACAAGAGGCCTGGAGAACAGGGCTGCTGGCACTAGCACTACCAGCTCTAAGACACAGTCCCAGCGACCAATAGGGTAAGGTCAATCATCCTGTGAGGTCAAGGATTTGGGGGCAGGAAGCGGGGGGCAGGGCTCAGAGGGCATTGCGATCTACGTGCACGTTGGATAACTTTATAATAAGGGTTATTCACATCTTTCTCGCCGATAATTGAAGTAGGACAAGAACGGAACACTTTCTTGGGCATCAAGCTGTTACAGTAAGTTCAGTTCCATTCAAACAACTGTATATGGTGATGATTATCATTATTGCTAGAAGCCCAGTGCGCGAGATTGCACAGCCCCGCCCACCCATGCTGGTCTTTGGTCATTTTGGCATTAGGGCCACGGGCTTTTATATATATATATATAATATATAGATTATTCCTAATTTGCTACTAACAAAGAATAAGAAGGTTCTCGGTATGATTACGTCATTTGCTGCAAACACCTTGGCTTCCGGGGAGGCTTAGAGATGAGGTTCTGTGTGTTGCAAACCATGCTGAGATAGAAAGGGTCGGCCGCCCGGCCGGCTACCGGTGCGGCTCAGTGGTTGAGCGTCAACCTATGCACCAGAAGGTCACGGTTCGATTCCCGGTCAGGGCACCTGTCTGGGGTTACAGTCTCGATCCCCAGTAGGGGGCAGTGTGGGAGGCAGCAGATCCATGATTCTCTCTCATCGTTGATGTTTCTCTCTCTCTCTCTCTCCCTCTCCTTTCCCCTCTGAAGTCAATTAAAAAAAATAAAAATAAATAAAAGGGTTTGCTATCCACATGGACACCAGGGTGGAGAGCAAGGCTACAGAGTGCGAGGCGGAGTGGGCCTTACCACAGCGGTCCCGGATGACCAGATTCCGGCCCTCCTTCAGGTGGATGGTGAGGAGGTAGGCGAAGGGGCTGGGCAGGTTGCTCAGGCCGTCGCTGGCTTCCCCGATGGTCTGCACGGGGGGAGAGGTAAGGTCAGTGGTCAGGGGAGAGAATTTCCGAAACCCTCCTAATTATAACATGGGGAAATGGACACTCCAACGGCCAGTCTTTAAGACCGAGCTCCCTCTGGGCTCCCAGCGCGGCTCAGTGGTTCAGCATCGACCTAGGAGCCAGGAGGTCACGGTTCGATTCCCGGTCAGGGCACAAGCCTGGGTTGCGGGCTAGATCCCCAGTGTGGGGCGTGCAGGAGGCAGCCGGTCCATGATTCTCTCTCATCATTGATGTTTCTCTCTCTCTTACTCTCTCTGAAATCAATAGAGATATATTTTTAAAAAAAGGAAATCATTTCAGTACATAACCACTCAGCTGCCAACCCACTGAGCCAGCCCGTCCATCGGACACACGGCCCTCGTCTGCGTCCACATGGGACAGTGTCTCTGTCTGGTGCCCTTCTGTCTTTCCCCGACCCCACAATGGCGTCTCTTCTGCTTCCCCTCACAGTCTCACCTCCCCACGACGCTGTCCACTCCCTTCTGTGGGAGTGAATGCATCAACCCGTACAGGCCCTCAAGTTCAAGGCAAGTCTAGTTTTGAATATACTTATTCAGTGGATGCCATTCACGTTTGGGACTTGAGTTCTGCCCTAGTCCCCATGTCTGCCATTGCAAAGAGAAAAGGGCAGGAGCAATAACTGATTGTTCACTGACTTGATCTTCAACTTCATCGACCCTGCGGCTAAGTCACCCTGGACGGTCCTCTCTGGGAAGTGTTCCCGTCCCTGTTTCACAGCACTTTGAAAATGGCCTTGTCTCCTGCTCTGCGGCACCCGATTTCATAGCTTCTCTGTATTTTTAGAAGGATCTATGCCAGGCTCCCAGATCAATACGCACTGAATTAATATCTCCCGGCTATCACTGCTTAAGGCCTTTGTCAGTGGATACGGGTGAGCATTCTTTAAATAAAGAAACCAGGCAAAGCGATGCAGATCCGGGACACGGAATAGGAAACACTTAGAATGGGGACTTGCCGTGTTTATCGGTTTTAAAGGGCTGTCACTCACAGGCTGTTCTTCAAACTGGTGGGACGTCATAGACACGCTCAGATCGCCACTGCCACAGAGCTTCTGAAAATAAAAGGAAAAGATAACCCTGCTTTAAAAAATAAAAAAAGCAAACGAATATCAACCCACCCTAACCGGTGTGGCTCAGTGGATAGAGCATCAGCCTGCGGACTGAAGGGTCCCGGGTTCGATTCCAGTCAAGGGCGTGTACCTTGGTTGCGGGCACATCCCCAGTGCGGGGTGTGCAGGAGGCAGCTGATGGATGTTTCTCTCTCATCGATGTTTCTGACTCTCTCTCCCTCTCCCTTCTTCTCTGTAAAAAGTCAATAAAAAATATATTTATTTTTTTTTTAAAAAGAATATTAACCTACAAGGAAGTCCTGTTCCAGGTCTTTCCCTCAGGGAACCTGCCATTTGCGTGCCCGGTTTCAGGTGTGTGGGTTCCCTCCACGCATGGCAGGTCCAGAGTGAGTCAGTGCGGTCCCTCTGGCTGCGACCTCTGCCATCTTAGTCAGTGATCGGAGCACAGATAAGGCCCGATCCGCCTCCCACTGGCCCTCCCCACCCCCGGTTTGTCATCTGTGGCCACGCTTCCTCCCGGGTCCCTCCCCGTGGGCCTGTCTGGCCCCCCTGCCATCAGCGGGAGCGGGCAGCTCAGGAGCCCGAGAACCAGGCTTGCTAAGTAGGCAGAAAACATTTCAAAATGGGATGGGAAAGACCTTCCTCAGACCAGACCCTCTTGGGCCCAGCACCTCTACAACCAAAAAGTGGAAACGCATGTTGTTGTTGTTGTTGTTTTTAAAATATATTTTTATTGATTTCAGAGAGGAAGAGAGCCAGGGAGAGAGAGAAACATCCATGATGAGAGAGAACCATGGGTCGGCTGCCTTCTGCATGATCCCCACTGGGGATTGAGCTCACAACCCGGGCATGTGCCCTGACCGGGAATCAAACCGTGACCTCCTGGTTCCTAGGTCCTGGACGCTCAATCACTGAGGCCCGAGGGCTGGGCAGTTCCTTTCTTAAATGCTGTATCTCAGAAGCGGTCCTTCCTGGCTGGCTATTCTGTTAAAAACTGAACGCCTCCACCCCCCGCGCTCCCAATCTCCTTTCCTGCATGGTTTTTCCTCCATTAAATCGATTGTTCTGCCCTGGCCGGTGTGGCTCAGTGGATAGAGCGTCGGCCTACTGACTGAAGGGTCCCAGGTTCGATTCCGGTCAAGGGCATGTACCTTGGTTGTGGGCACATCCCCAGTAGGGGGTGTGCAGGAGGCAGCTGATGGATGTTTCTCTCTCATCAATGTTTCTTATACGCCGTATTTTCCGGCGTATAAGACGACCCCCTAATTTTTACAGTGAAAACATAGGTTTAGGCCTATATTCGCTGTATAAGACCACCCCCCACTTCCGAGGCAACACCAGTTCTTTTTTTAATAGACCGCCTCTCTGACTCAGCCAATCCGAGCAGGCTTTTTATGCCATGCAAATTATACGTGTTCTGTACCCGAAGCTACAGTGTTCTAGTGAAAAGCCTGCTCAGTGGGGGGTAGTCTTATACAGCGAATATAGGCCTAAACCTGTTTTAACTGTAAAATTAGGGGGGTCGTCTTATACGCTGGAAAATACAGTAACTCTCTCGCCCTCTCCCTTCCTCTCTGTAAAATAATAATAATAATAATAATAATAATAATAATAATAATAAAATTGATTGCTCTGCAAATATCTACAGCCTGCCCCCCGTTCAAAATAGAACCTTCAGGAAGAAGTGGATTTTTGTCAGGACCAGCACATAGTAGGTACTTACCATCCGGGAAGGAGGGAGGGAGGGAGGGAGGGGAGCAGAAAAACAGAGGCCAGGTCCTCTGAGCGGGGGGTGGGGGGCATGGGATGTGGTTGACACGCCTGGGGCAGGAACCCGGTGGGGGGGAGCAATGATTTCTGAGCTGGAACAGAAATAGCCACAGAGCACGTGGCCGGTGTGGGGAGCGGCTGGCGCTGGTCTTCATTCCGAGGGCGGCAGGCTGTCTCCGCTCTGCGGTTTGTCATTGTGCGTCTCTGTGGTCGCCAAACTGAAGCTCTGTGGTTGCCGAGCAGCTTCTAGAAATATCCCACTAGGGCTCTCTTCTCAGCCGCTCAGCTCGTCCTCAGAAGCCAGCGCCCAGGCTGGTGGTTTCAAACCCCGACTGCCAAGCAGAGCGTTAGGGGAGGGCGTGCACGGGGGGAGATCGCATGGGGAGGATGGTTCCTGATTATTAGTTATTGATCGTGATGAAGTGCACGTTCCAACACTATCATTATCCCTGCTTTTATTTATTTTTTGAAGTTTTTACTGCCAAAACCGGTGTGGCTCAGTGGCTAGAGCGTCGGCCTGCGGACTGAAAGGTCCCAGGTTCGATTCCAGTCAAGGGCATGTACCTGGGTTGCGGGCACATCCCCAGTGGGGGGGGGGGGAGGTGCAAGAGGCAGCTGATCGATGATTCTCTCTCTTCAATGTTTCTAACTCTCTATCCCTCTCTCTTCCTCTCTATAAAGAATCAATAAAATATATTTTTTTAAAGGGAAAAAATGACTTTTTACTGATTTTAGAGAAAGAGGAGGTAGGGAGAGAGAAAGAGCGAGAGACAGAATCATCCATGATGAGAAACATTATTGACTGGCTGCCTCCTGCAGGCCCTCCACACCCCCACACCCCCAAACTGGGGGTCAGCCCGCAACCTGAGCAAGTGCCCGGACCAGGAATCCAACCGGCGACCTAGGCAATGGTGTAAAGAGAGAGAGAGGGGGACAGACACACACACACTTGGCAATTTTAGAGAAAAAGTTATGCTCTTTCTTTCTTTGCTAGGAGATGGATAAAAGGAAAACTCATCCAATAGGCCTTTTAAAGCCTTAAAGTGTCCGAGAAAGGGTTTTCGTAATGGTCTCAAAGTACACAGAGGTCAACCCGAAAACTGATGGGGACACTTGGTGCGATCGATACGCCGCTCCATCCACGCTAACCACGGAGATAGTTCCTAATCCGGTCCTCCAAGGGCACTCGCTGAGATGAAAAAGAGGGAGGAGGCAGCAGATAATGGTGCGGTTAAGGCCTGGGGCCTGGGATGGGGGTGGGGGTGGGGGCGGGCCAGGAGCGGTCAATGGGGAGAAAGGGGACATATGTAATACTTCCACCAAGAAAGATAAACTTTATAAATAAGCAAATACAAAAATAGATAAATAAATTGATTAAATTAAAAATAAAAATAGCCTGGCTGGCACGGCTCTGTAGTTGAGCATCGACTTGTGAAGCCCAGGAGGTCAGGGTTCGATTCCCGGTCAGGGCACATGCCCGGATCTCAGGCTCCAAGCCCAGTAGGGGGCGTGCAGGAGGCAGCTGATCCATGATTCTCTCTCATCATGAATGCTTCTCTCTCTCTCTCTCCCTCTCCCTTCCTCTCAGAAACCAATAAAAATATTTTTTTTAATTAAATGAATATAGCCCTAACCGGTCTGGCTCAGTGCACGGAGCGTCGGCCTGCGAACTGAAAGGTCCCAGGTTCGATTCCGATCAAGGGCATGTACCTTGGTTGCGGGCACATCCCTGGTGGGGGGGGGGCGGGGGGCGTGCAGGAGGCAGCTGATTGATGTTTCTCTCTCAAGGGCACATGTGTCAAACACAAGGCCCGCGGGCCAAATCCGTCCCGCCAGGCCTTGCAATGTGGCCCGCACCGCGCTGTCATCACTGCACTCCGCTGCGTTTCCATCACAATGACAGTTTATGACTGTTCAGTAAACCATTCAGCCCGCGATTTAGGCTGGATTTTAGATTTTGGCCCCTTCTCTGATTGAGTTCGACACCCCTACTCAAGGGTGTTTCTGACTCTCTATCCCTCTCTCTTTCTCTCTGCAGAAAAAAATCAATATTAATAAACAACAACAATAAAAATGAAATAAAACTTGAATAAATGTAAATACAGAAGAAGACAGAAAGCACAGGGACGGGGGTGCCGGCTGGGGCCTCACCTCGGGCTCCTCCGGAGCATCCTCCCCCGGGGGCGCCTTCGGCGGCAGCAGGTCGCGGAGGCCGGCGGCTGGCGAGGCGTAGGTCTCCTCGGGGTCCGTGTCTGCCGCCTGCAGGTGGCCTGCCTCTTCCTGGCTCCAGTCCAGCTCCTCTTCCGACTGCTTCAAGGAGCCGCTGCAGCTCCCGGGCGCGATCCCGGCCGTGGACAGGCTGCTGGGCACGGAGGTGTAGGACGACTGGGCCCCGGAGTACGGCCCGCCCTCCGGGGCCAAGGCCTGGGCCTCCAGGAGGTCGGGGACTGAGAGGCTGAGGCGGCGGTCGAGGTGATGATGATGATGCGGCTCCCGGGAGCCCAGGGGTTTGTCCGGGTGCTTCTTTGCCTTCCTCTTGCTCAGGTTGAGCAGCAGAGGCCTGGTCCGCTGTTTGAAGGAGCCCCAGACGGAGGGTTTATCCAGATCCATGGCTGCATGAAGACCCTCGAAAGAGACGGCCGCCCGTGGGAAGCTCAGCGGCTCCTGGAAAACAGAACGGGAGGAGAAGGGACGTGAATCGTCTCTGTGGCGTCAGGGCCCAGGAAAGGGGGAAAGGTGACTCGGAAAGTGTACCCTTTCCGGGAAGGGATCGAGATGGAAGCATGTGATTGGTCACATCCACAGAGATCGGGAAAAGCTTAGAGAACTGGATTCTTAAAAGATTTTTTTTTTTTAAATTGAAGAAGTTATGGAAAAGTTAAAGCAATGAATGAAATGATTAGGTTGAAACACACACACGTAAATGCTTCCTAGGAAGATGGCTTATTTCACTCAGCATAACGCCCTCCGGGTTCCTACATGCTGTTGTAAATGGAAGCAATTCCTTCTTTCTTCACGGGTATATAATATTCCACCATATATACATGGGAAGGCAAGAGCAGGCTTACAGTTGTGAGTATGCAAAACACAGAGTTAATTCTTCTATTACTATTTATTAAGCATTGTATTCTTTTCCATACCAACAAGTGTAAACCTACTTTTCCCACCCAGAATGGGTAACACATTTTCTTTATCCATTCATCCCAGGATGGACGTTTTAGGTTGTTCCTGCATCTGGGCTGCTGTGAATAAAGCTGCAGTGGACAAGGGCGTGCAGATATCACTTTGAGATACTGAGCTCATATCCTTTGGATAAAAACTCAGAAAAGGGGGAGCTGGATTATAAGGTATATACACACTGAGTCGCCAGATTTTTATGTGTTCAGGGATCATAATAATATTGCCATTCATGCACCGGGCCATATATGAGGCCTGGTGCATGAACTGGTGCATGGGGGTGGGGTCTGGCCAGCCTGGCCAGAGGGAGGGGACATGGGCAGTTGGCCGGCCTGCCTGCTGCTCGAACTCCTGGTCAATGGGATCATTTTCATATTAGCCTTTTATTATATAGAATATACACTGAGTGGGCCAGTTTATTATGCATTCAGAGATCATCATAATCTGGTCACTGTGTGTATACTTTTAATTATTTATTTATTTATTTATTTTAATCTCACCTGAGGATATTTTTAGAGAGAGTGGAAAGCTAGAGGGAAAGACAAAAAGAAATATTGATGTGAAAGAAACACATGGATTGGTTGCCTCCTGTATAAACCCCAGGAGGAACCCGCAATCGAGGTACATGCCCTTGACCGGAATCGAACCTGGGACCCCTCAGTCCGCAGGCCGACGCTCCATCCACTGAGCCACACCGGCACAGCTCACAGTTAATTCTGCAGCTGCTGGGCTCTGGGCATGCCAACTCATTGAAAATGAAAGACTATGTTGATTAGATCCATGATCTTCATCTTCCTCCTTGTCCTATCCGCAAAGAAAGGAGGACAGGTTCTGAGACATAGCCATGACGTTGAGTTGACAGAACTCCGTGAGGAGAATGAGACAGAGGGAGGTGCCCGGATTGAGCCCAGCCCCCCTGGAGAGCAAGCACGAGGGCCGTCCGCTCAGGCGTCCCGTGTAGAAGGCTATTCTGGGCTCGGTGCTGGCTTCTTTGTGTTCGGGAAGTTCAAGTGGAAAGGCCGAGCTGGCAGTGGGGCCCGTGACAGCGGCGCTAAGAGGGAGGCCGGGTCTATCAGAGACAGACTTGGCAGAGACGGAGGCGTGGGAATACCGAGAGGAGCATAAAACTGTAAAGACGGGAATGAATGAGCCTGAAGGAACTCCAGCCCGGCACAGTCTGCTCAAGTAGGAACAGCGTGCAAAGGAGACTAAAAAAAAATTTAAAGCCGAGACCGGTTTGGCTCAATGGATAGAGCGTCGGCTTGGGGACTGAAGGGACCCGGGTTCGATTCCGGTCAAGGGCATGTGCCTTGGTTGCGGGCATATCCCCAGTGGGGGGTGTGCAAGAGGCAGCTGATCGATGACTCTCTCTCATCGATGTTTCTAACTCTCTATCTCTCTCTCTTCCTCTCTGTACAAAATCAATAAAATATATATTTAAAAAAAAAAAAAAATTTAAAATAACTACAACAGCCCTGACCGGTGTGGCTCAATGGATAGAGCGTCGGCCTGCGGACTCAAGGGTCCCGGGTTCGACTCCGGTCAAGGGCATGGACCTTGGTTGCGGGCACATCCCCAGTGGGGAGGGTGCAGGAGGCAGCGGATGGATGTTTCTCTCTCGTGGATGTTTCTGACTCTCTATCCCTCTCCCTTCCTCTCTAAAAAAAAAAAAAATCAATAAAGTATATTTAAAAAACAACAATAACTATAACAGCTGGGGAGCGGGTGTCATCTTGACACATCAAAGCCGGAAGGGAGGAAGGGCGTTCTGTGAAGGAAGTGGTCAAGGACATCACACGTTTGCAGGTTCGCTGCCATCAGTCCTGAGCCCACCGGTGAGGTGCAACAGAGACGACTGGCGATCGTGGTGGGATCTGTTTGGGGGGCTTTAGGGGGTAGGAGATCTGACTGAAATCGGTCCAAAAGGGAAGCGGGGGAAAGGAAGACATGGAGGCCACAGGTTAGATGACTTTCTGACAGCTGGACTAGAAGAGAAGATGGACATAGGTGGTCATGGTGAGGGGACGATCATGGTTAGAGTTAGGCAGATGCCATACTCTGGATGCTAACGGCACAAGCTTCTGGATGCTAACGGCACAGTGCTCAATTAGTAACTGTTTGACTGGCCCGGCCGGTGTGGCTCAGTGGTAGAGCATCAACCTATGAACCAGGAGGTCACGGTTCAATTCACAGCACATGCCCGGGCTGGGGGTTCGATCCCGAGTGTGGGGCGTGCAGGAGGCAGCCGATCCATGATTCTATCTCTCCCTCTCTCTCCCTCTCCCTTCCTCTCTGACATCAATAAAAATATATTTAAAAAATAAAAAATAGAGTACAGATCAGCATATCAGGCATCTGAACATCAAGAGATCCCGTGAAACAGCCAGAAAAAAAAAAACAAAAACGGTTGCTCTAAAAATAGCAGGCACACCTCCTAAGCAATTGCTTTTATCTCTGAGAGACTGAGGATCAGGCCTTGCTTTTTCGGGACTCGTTTGAACTCCGGCTAAACTGAGAGTTCATCTCTCCCTAACGGCCTACTACCTGTTTCCCCGAAAATAAGACAGTGTCTTATATTAATTTTTTTCTCCCAAAGTTGCGCTAGGTCTTATTTTCAGGGGATGTCTTGTCTTTCCATGCGCTAGGTCTTATTTTCGGAGGATGTCTTATTTTCGGGGAAACAGGGTAGTTTAACCTGCCCTCCCCTCCACCTTTTCCTACTGGAGAACTTGGCCACTTTATTATTTTCCTCACCTTCTGGGTGGAGAGTTATTTTTTTGGTGGTAGTGGTAAATAAAAGCAAAATAAAAAGGCAAGTTGAATATGGATAACTCAGTTGCTTACTATTGTGGACTGATGGGCCAAACTCTGCCTTAAATACATGTATATAAGTAAAGATTCAGCCCCAGCCGAAACCGGTGTGGCTCAATGGATAGAGCGTCGGCCTGGGAACTGAAAGGTCCCGGGTTCGATCCAGGACAAGGGCACGTACCTTGGTTGCGGGCACATCCCCAGTGGGGGGTGTGCAGGAGGCAGCTGATGGATGTTTCTCTCTCATTGATGTTTCTAGCTCTCTATCCCTCTCTCTCCCTCTCTGTAAAAAAAAAATCAATAAAATATATTTAATAAATAAATAAATGGGACATTTAAACACTGCATCTTGCCCCTTTCCCAGTTCATTTTTATTGAGATACTACAAACCATGAGCAGGCCGGGAGAGGGCCAGCACACCACGGGATTTGCATAGAAAATACTGGAACTTCCATGCCGACTGACCTACTGCGTCCTTTTATTTCCCCTTTGTGTGTGTGTGTGTGTGTGTGTGTGTGTGTATGTGTGTGTGTCTGTTTAATAATATATGTAATATCGGTACCACAGCACAGGTGCATAATTCATAAGGAAATAATGTACACTCCCGTTGGGTGTGCCCGCTGACTGGCTGCATTATGACAGAAAGAATGGGGGCCATTTCAAAAGCGCTTGGCCCATTCACCCCTTTAATCTGCTGGAAATATAACCCCAACCTGCAATCCTCAGAAAAGATCACGTGTTTCCCTGCAGGCAAATGCCTATTTTCAGAACCACGTCTCTCCTTTCAGAGAGAAGTATCGGGAATGAATAGAATACCCGCCAGACAAGCCCAAATAGACAAGATGCTTGTTTTTAGAAAGAAAAAAAAAAAGTTCAAGTGTGATTTAAACAGGGTTTTCGGTAAATACTGCCGTCACCTCCCCCCAGAGGGTGGGGAGCATTCATTTCAACAATGATCTCATTTGTCTCGAGTTTTCTCTTAACATCTACAAATTGCAGGATGGTGCTTCCCTCAAGCGCTTTCATTCAATTTGCATTTTCAACAGCAAACACACAGGACATCTGTGCACACGCCCAGGTGAGGAGGCAAAGGTAGGAAAATAAAATAAAATAAAAAGATTTGCATCTCCTTTGAGAGCTGAGTCACTCATAATTAGAGCTTTACTCACACTCACACCATTAAAACGAACCCATGGTCAAAACCGGTGTGGCTCAGTGGGTAGAGCGTCAGCCTGCGGACTGAACGGTCCCAGGTTCAATCTGGGTCAAGGGCATGGACCATGGTTGCGGGCACATCCCCAGAAGGGGGTGTGCAAGAGGCAGCTGATGGATGTTTCTCTCTCATTGATGTTTCTAACTCTCTATCCCTCTGCCTTCCTCTCTGTAAAAAAATCAATAAAATATATATTAAAAAATAAAAAATAAATAAAACAAACCCATGTATCTGCTGATCGGAAGCCGTGATTTAGCTGTGACATCATAAATAACACCCGGGGAATGGAAGCGCTGAGGGGAGCACAGCACCAGGAAAGGTCAATATGCAGAAATGACCATAAATATCCCTCCAATGGCCATGTTTCCAGAAACAAAAGGACTTTCCCTTTTTGGTGCTCCCGGCTCACCGTAGTTATGCCACCCACGGCTGCAGGTGCGAAACCTACAGGAGATAAGGTTGA